ATATGCTATTGGTGCTAACATATGTGAATGCCAAACAAAAAGTACATCAAGTGGTGGAACAATATCTAAATCAGCATTTTCAGCTATAAATGGAAGCCAAAATGTTTCATAACGATACACAGCATATTCGCGTGATTGTTTTTGAAAATGTTCAGGATGATCATAATATTCTTTTAAATAAGATAAATGATCAAGAACAGCTTGTTTAAGATCTTCACTAATAACTATTTGAGATGGATGAGTTGTAGAAGAACTATGAGAAGATGGAGTTGTTACGGGTGATATTGAAGCCATGGTTAGACGGTGAATGAAAAAAACGTAAAAAGAATAGATACGTGCTTATACACGACTATTCAAGGAAGAAAGCGAATGAAAAACGTCAGATAGTTACGCCTCACTAACCATAGTTAACGAATATTACTTTATAGATGAGCAAGATAAGATATAATACTTTTACAGGTATTGTCAGGCTTTTTTTTCTACAGAGGCATGAATAACAAGTTAAAGTCCATGACCTTGTTCAATAATTTTTTTTCTCAGAAAAAAATAGGAATGTATTCTTCAAATCAATAGTACTATTTTATCATCAAAAATTTTCCAGAATTCGAACAAGCGACCAGTGACATCTACTTTGATTTTGCATAATTTACCAATAATAATTATTAATTTTTTATATTCAATTCAACTGATTAATTCGAAATATAAATATACATTGTATTTTTTTTTCATTATTCTATTGTCTATTGCATTGCGCCAACGTTTTCATCTGTAGGAAAGTTCATTGAGTATAATATGATATAATGTCTGCCGTCTCACAAATTTGTACTTTACTGTCAAAAAGAACGTTCAATTATTTATATCATTCCAATTATATTTTAAGAAGAAAACTTTCTGTATATAATTTAAGTAAAAAACGAATTCTTAATAGAAAAGATTTTGTTTATTTTTTAACAAAAACGAATTCTATTACGATGACAGAAAAAACTGAAAAATCTCATAAAGATTGGTGGCGTCATTCAGTTGTGTATCAAATTTATCCACGTTCATTTTTTGATTCAAATGGTGATGGTATTGGTGATATTCATGGTATAACAATGAAACTTGATTATATTAAAAAATTAGGTGTCGATATTATTTGGTTAAGGTTAGAAAAACAAAAATATCTTCTTTACTAAAAAAAATCATAATTTTGATTATTATTATTTTTCTAGTCCAGTTTATGATTCACCAAATCATGATAATGGTTATGATATACGTGATTATACAAAAATTATGACTGAATTTGGTACCATGGATGATTTTGATCTTCTATTAAAAGAAATGAAAAAACGTCATTTAAAATTAGTTATGGATCTTGTTGTTAATCATACAAGTGATGAACATCCATGGTTTCTTGAATCAAAAAAAGCTAAAGATAATCCATATAGACATTTTTATCACTGGCAACCTGGTCAACATGGACAACCACCAAATAGATGGCGAGCTTGTTTTGGTGGTTCATGTTGGGTAAAGATTTTATTTTTCAAATTAATATAATTGATTTTCAAGAAATATTTTTCTTCTGTTTTCTTTTTTTTAAAGACATACGATATTATCACCAGTGAATATTATTTACATACATTTACAGAAAAACAACCAGATCTCAATTGGACAAATCCTTTGGTACGTGAAGAAGTTTATAAAATAATGCGTTGGTGGCTTGATAAAGGTGTTGATGGATTTCGTATGGATGTTATTAATTTTATTTCTAAAGCCGATGGTTATCCAGAAGGTGAACCTATTGATGATGATCAACATACAGATGGTTCACCATATTTCATAAATGGACCACATGTACATGATTATATTCAAGAAATGCATGAAAAAGTTTTAAGACATTATAATCTAGTTACTGTTGGAGAATGTCCAGGTAAAATTGATTTCAACGAAAATTTGTTTTGTTCTTATTTAATATGATCTTTTCAAAGGTGGTCGTTTAAAAGATGCCGAATTATTTAGTTCACCTGATCGAAATGAATTAAATATGATATTTACATTTGAACATATGGATTTAGATGGTGGTAAATGGACACCAAAATTACTTGATTTAAGACTTTTAAAAGATCATTTTACAGAATGGCAAAAATATTTATATAGAAGAGGATGGAATAGTTTATATTGGAATAATCATGATCAACCAAGAATTGTTTCACGATGGGGAAATGATTCACCACAATATCGAGTATTATCAGCAAAAATGCTTGCAACATGTTTACATTTTCTTCGTGGAACACCTTATATTTATCAAGGAGAAGAAATCGGTAAATAAATTAAAATGGGTTTTTTTTCCTTATAGTTTTATAAAGAAGAAGAGAATTCGATTGAATGAGTTAATCATACATTACCATTTTTTATATCGTATCTTTAGTTATGCTGCACAACCATCATTCAAAGAAATAGATATTCTCATAGGATCAAAAACTGTTTTATATTACTTCAAGGTTCCCTGTTAATTAAAGTATTCTTCAATATTCCTTGTGACAAATATATCATTCAGAATGTTCATCAAGAAATCCATAGGTTTGGATTCGAAACCAAAATTTTACAGTTTTTCTTATGATATATGTATAAGGGTCGTTCAAAAAATGTCGAGATTGATTACCATTACAAACAGCAAGAAGCATTTCTATCTTAGTATTGTTATTTATGTGTATGTGTAGGTCATACAGTCCGCGATCTATAGATGTCACAAGCTCTAATCGATTAAGTATTTATGTATAGATAGTATATCAATACTTTTTAGATCACTGCACATACATTGATAGAAAATTTTATCCTTGATGTGAACGAATCGAATACTAAAACAGTTCGAAGATCTTAGTCATCGACATGACTCCAAACAGCAAATAGCAGACACTAACTAAATCAATTACATAGTACAAGACATTTTACATGATCAATTACATATGACTCAAATCTGTTCAAAATGAAGGTTACATCCAACAGCACCTAAAAAACTACATATCATTCATATATCGATGCTTACTTATCCATCTTTATAACGACGAGTCCGTTTAAAAACCATAGCTGGCGATAGTCCATTATTAGTATTAGTTACTACCATACATTCATAGATATTGGATGAAAATTTATGATATAAAACATAAAATTTTACTCAAGTTTCTAGATTTCTCTCAGTGTTTATTAAGTGATCTAAAACGTATTGCTATATCTGAACAGCAATACTTAACTGTTCATAGATTGAAAATTGTACGAAGTACACACAGATAATAATACTAATGCAACACGGATTTGTATTGTTTTTAGATAAAATTAGTCTCGGAATGTTTTTGAACGGGACTCATAAGTAAACGTCTGCTCATGTCCTTCTCGATTTAAAATCACTTACATACTTTTCATATATCGTCGAAATGTTGTGATCTATACCAAAACTAACATACTTTCTAAGTTTCGACAATGAAACTGAATTTTATTTATGAATTCGAATTCATACACTATATTAAATTTCTATATCGAATTTTCATTTCTTCAGGTATGACTAATGTTCGATTTTCAACATTAGCCGAGTATCGTGATATAGAAACAACAAATTTTCATCGTGATGCAATTCAAAAAGGTTTATTATTAGAAGAAATAATGGCAGCTATTTATGCTAAATCACGTGATAATGCTCGTACACCAATGCAATGGTCTGGTAAATTACCACATGCTGGTTTTACTAATGGTGCAGCTGATGTAATACCATGGATTAATGTTAATTCAAATTATGTAGATATTAATGTTGAACAAGCTCTTGAAGATCCACAATCAATTTTTTATTATTATCAAAAACTTATTGAATTACGTCGACAAATGGCAATTCTAGTACACGGTAATTATGATATATTACATAGAGATAATACACATATATTTATATACAAACGTTATAATGATGAAGGTCAAGAATTAATAATTGCATCTAATTTTAGTTCAGAACAAACTAAAATTGATGATATTGAACTTTCTCAACGTTTAAAGAATCATAAACAATTATTAATTAGTAATTATGAACAAGATAATAAATCAGATTGGCTTGATTTTCGTCCTTATGAAGCATGGGCACTTGAAATTTCATAAGAACAAAAATCGTCATCATATTTTTTTTATACTATTTAAAATTTAATGTTATTTTAGTCTAGCAATAATTATAATTAGACCAGTGTGAATTTTTGATTTTAACTTTTTTGTACTTAAAAAAAAAATAGAATGTTTTGTAATACAAAACAAGAAAAAAAATATAATCTAGCTGAAAATAGTAATAGAAATATATATATATGAAACATATTTGAATAAAAACAAACGAGAAAAATTTGTAGACAAAAAATAATCAAGTATTAAATAAAAATGTGTATTGTATAACTCATACTGATTAAATATCTTGCACAAAATGGTGACCGTAATGTATTACAATCTTCTATTGATAGACAATCCATTTTTACATTGAATAAATACGAAAAATAATTTCGAATAAAACAAAAAATGTAAAATTATATCGAGTATATTATAATCTAAATAAGTTTATTTGTGTTACTAAATAATATATTTCTTTTTAATTAAAATTTCTGACTTTGACATAATTAATGATAAAGATGAAAATCAATCAAATAATCTGTCAACAATATAATATGCATAGCTAAACATTTGATATGTAATTCAAATGATGTTGTTCGATCAAGTAAAGAATATTGAGCAATACAACATGTGAGTATACACTAAGAATAGTACGTGCAAACTCAAAAAATAATTCTGGTGAAGTAATTTGGATTTTTTAGGAAAAGTAATATTATATTTATTCTAAATGCAGTCTTTGTTGATTAAATAAATAAACATCAGAATAATTATTGTTTAAAGCTTTCTTTGTTTTTTTTTATCTCGTCATGAACGAAGCAATCATTTTTTTTTTCTTAATAGACTTTCATTATTATTTTATTTTATAGTTTTATCTTGAAAAACAAATGACATTATTTTTCGAGAATAGAGTCACGGCGTTCACATCGATAACCTTGCCAACCTCGACGACAAGTGCATTGATAAAAACCTGTGCATCGTCCTCCATTCAAACATGGAAATGGACAAAAAGCTAGAAAAAAGAAAATCAATATAATTTATCTTTTATTTTTTTTTCTTGATTTTTTTAAAAATAATCTTACCGTTTTGACACTGATTTGTACATATACATTTTCCATCTAAACATATTTCATTTGATTTACATGTATTATTACATTGATCACATGAACTTGTTTTACAAACACATATACCATTAATACAATGTTCATATGGACGACAACCACCCCGTTTTCTACCACACATACATATATCTAATTGACAAAGTTCGCCTTTACCACATTTTCCTTGAGAACCACAACTACATGATGAATTATGACAACTTTCTCCAATGTCACAAATTTCATAACATGGACGATCATATTCACATAAACCTAATGAATTGAAACATACGAAAGAAAAAAAAACAGAAAATGAAATTTTATAATTCACCTAACAAACCTTTAAAACAACCACATCGACCATCAACACAAACTTGTCCAGGTCGACAAATTACTGGACAATATGGTGTTAAAGATGATTCACATCGTCGATTAATGCATTGTGTACCGAATGGACATGGTGGATTACATTGATAATCATGTTTTTCGTCATCTATATTTGACCAACTACATTGTCCATCAATACATACTTCATCCTCATCACATGGAGGATCACAAATAAGTGGATTTAATTTAGCTTGTTGTCGTAAACAAACACCTGTTTTTTTCTCACATAATTCACACTCAGATGAACATGGATTATCTATTATAAATTATAATGTAATTAATTAAAATCACTAAAATTATATCTTACATTTACAAATTGGTGGTAATGGATACCATTCTGATGGTACCATACAAAATGCTCGACTAGCACCAATCATTTCATAACCATAATTACATTCATATTCAACTGATGAACCAACTTCATAATCAGATACACGATAAAGTCCACCTGGAATAGATGCTGGTTCCGAACATCCTAATTAATAATCATTTATCAGTTCAAAATTCATCAATAGAAAATGAAAACATTCATTTTACCTGAACAAAAAGATGAACTTTTTAATTTATTTGTATCAATTAATATTTCATTAGATACTTGTGACCAAGAAAAAATATCTCCATTTTGTTTTCGACAATCACGATAACTAACAAGTAATTGTTGTTCAGATATAATTTGTTTCCAAATTTCTATACGTGTTATACGACCAGTAAATAATCGTTCAAATAGAATTAGTCCTGTAACATCTAATTCAATAAATAAAAGTCGAAATGATCATTTATACATGCCTTTCCAATAGGCTTACTTGCTTTCGAAATCGAGGCTCATTACTCCGAAATCGATCGATTGTTGTCGTGCACCATCAATATATAAATTTGATTGTTGATTTTTATTTGAATAAGTCCATGTGAAATGTATCCAATTTTCAATTGGAATATTCACATAAGTTGTTGTTGTAGATTTAGTTTGATTTTGTCGTAAATGACAAATAGCTAGTCTATTTATTAAAATAAGAAAACCAAAGTAACGACATAATACATATGTCTTTAAGTTTGAAAAAAAAAAAACATCTTACCTGCCTTGAAGAATAACCAATTCAAATAGAGTATTATTATTATTTTGTTTTAATGAAATTATATTAGTATTTGTATTATTTTCCAAATAGAACCAAAAGATGATAGTAAATTCAGATGAATTAAAAGACGTCAAAATGATTCCAGTATCGTTATTGTTAATATGCAAAGTATAATTTGAATAATCTATCATAAATCAAAAACAATATAAAGAAAAAAAAAATTTTTAAAAACTTAAACTATACCTAAATATTTTGGAGTAGTTGTTAAAAGATGAGTTGATGTTGAACTTGTAATTACAAAAGGTGTTGTTTCAATACCGACTTAAAAAAACAAAAACATCGATATTCTTTTTTATGTATATCAATATTACTTACCAATACAAAATTGTTCATAACCTGTCCATCTACCCATTACTAAACATTCACGAATACGTGGACCAATCAATCGATAACCTGTTTTATTACATTTTGCTTCACATTTAGTACCAAAGTGAAGTTTAGTAGTGTTTTGTTGAGGTAAACATTCTTGTATTACTCGAGGATGAATTTTCAATGCTGGACAGCGAATAGCTTAAAAAAAACAATAAATGAAAATATTTTACCTTGTATGTTAATTGTTTATGTTACCTTCACATTGTGGTTCACGTCCACTCCATGTTCCATCTTGACGACATTCACGAAAACTATCTCCATTTACAAGACGATAACCAGTTAAACATCCAAGACCACATAATGAACCTGGTGTTCGTTTACAATAACCCGAAAAGAAAAATCCATGTTTAGGTAATTCCAAAACAGAACATTGTTTTGTCTAATATACACGAAAAAAGAACAGAAAAGAAAAGATCAAAAATTCAAACATACTCGTGCACCATCAATACTAGCAATTTTAAGTATAAAAAATATTAATAAAAAAATGATCATATATCGACTTCGATACTTTGATTTTGACCACCATAGAATAAAAAAATGCTTCCGAACAAGGAACATTAATTTATGCCACCAAGAAACAAAAAAAAAAAAAGATAAGCACTGTATATGAGAATATTTATTCTGCTGAATGATGGAAATGCCTGTTTATTGTCTCTCATTGAACATCTGGTATTGAGAGAATATAAGCATGAGAAATTACGTGATTGACATCATAAGCAAACGAAGAAGAAGAAGAACATGCTTAATTAATGGTCGCTTCTAATGTAGAAACGATTATTTGTTCATATATACAAATCATTGACCTGGATATGTGGAATATGATGCAGAAATCATTAGATTAGACAGGCGATAGTATCTTGCGGCCAATGTCATTTTTGTCTAAATTAAATAGAAGAATTTTCATTACTGGAATATTAAAAAATAAACATTTTATTTTCTTTGTTTCAAATGATTAATCAATTCGAGTAGGTTTTTAATTTTTCATCTAAGAATTTACATAATAATCTTTCTAGATTTATGCAAATGATCTGTGACAATGACTCTTGTTTGTGTCTATGGAATAATTCAAATTAATATCGGCTCATCTTGTAAGGTAAGATATAATAAAATTTTCATAGATGTAGTCATTTTTTTTTTTTTTGATAATTATTATTAAGTTCTTAATTTTCATTATTCAGAAATGTTAAATCTAGATGAATCTATTACTTTATGCATAATATACATCAATTTTTTGGTAATATATAAGATCTGATAATTTCAGTTTTTCAATACGTGTGTAGCTAGAAAATTGATTAAAACTCTGTCTATCTTTTCAATTAATCTAACTACGAAAGCTTTTATTTATTTCATAAATTTCATCGAGATTTACAAAAAAGTCAATTTCTATAGAGTCTATTTCAGAACATTCTCTGCACATTTGTGATACGCTGAATTTTGCATGAAGTATATTTTTATGTTGTCTAACTTATTAAGTTAGGAACCATAGTAAAATTCAATGAATGTGCTTTTGACAATTCTTCTAATATCTGTGAGCGATTTATCATCTTTTTTGGCTCAATTATCGTTTGTAAATGACGATTGAGCAATGATTGTTTATTTGTAGTATAATAGATAAATGTTATTTTAACTGAAGTGAACATATTTAAACAATATTTCAAATCTCTAGATCAGTAATATTTGACATTCTCGTATTGAAATATTAAGCTCTTCAGTCTATGTCTGGTGTGATAATTGCATTGTTCAATTAATAATATTTTTTTTTTAAATTCTTCAATATATTTTTATCCATCGATCAAGATCAAAGTTCAAAACATTTTTGCTGATTGTTGAGTTATAGACGTTAATCGTACAATGAGAGAATTATGTTCATCTGTTTTATCGAAACAACATGCATTGATTATTTTTTTGACAAAGGTTTGATTTTTATTTTAAACTCTTGAAAAATGTCATCATCTTGATTGACACCATAATTACGATTTTTTTTTCTAAGTTCATCCCGATGTTTGTTAAAATATTTGCACCAAAAACTATGAGGACAACTGGGACATAGTATCATAGTTATTTTTCTTTCGTTCGGTTCGCATTTATAGTACGTTTTAGCATCGAATGCTTTTGAAGTGACAACCATAAAAAACAACTAATATGTATTCTACGATGTTGCAGGTGAAATAGTTAAATTCTTTTGTTAACACAATATACACCATACATACGAACACTTGTCAATATGAAAACGAGGAATAAAAATTTTTCTTTTTAATAATTACATTAGCGTTACGTCCAAAAGACTTCAAATTTCACGATTTTCTCTTCTGATAGTAATTGTTCGTGTTGTGTTTTCTCAATTTTATATGAATTCGATGAATTCTATGGCTCATATTACGTATATTGTCTAGTTTTTGCATATCCATATATAATGTGAAAAACTATCAGAATAGGATTTGTTTTTGATAAATGTATTTGAAGATAAATTAAAATTGAGGAGAAAAAAAAAATTAATCAAAAGAATAACATTAGAACTAAATCTATTATTAGTTGTAATGCTAGATAAGAATATTTGCAAACGATCAATCATAAGAAAAGAGCAGCTGCATTCTTTAGTGCCATTAGTCGTTGATTGGTTGTATCCAACAAAAGAAATATATTTCCATTGATTAGCAATAATTTTTGTGAGCTATTTTTTTTGCGTTTCTATAAAAAGTTATTCTAATATAATTCTTTGTTTTAATTTTTAAGTCGAATTCTTTTCCACTTGTACAAATGAACAAGATACAAATTAATAATAATTTATCAATTGACTATAATGTCTATTAAATTTTATTTATGAATCATTTAAACTCGGGGGGCATATCCAAAAAGAATAATAAGCTCGAAACATAACGAAAGATGAAATAAGCTCTAAATCACTGTTATTTATACAGAAAGCTCATTGTTTACATTAAATTTCAATTGGTTTTGGATTCGGTTTTCGAATATGACGCATATTAGCACCGGGCTCACTATAATAAAAGAAACAAAAATAAAAATAAATTTCATTTTATCATAAACAAAATTATCTATCATACCTGGGTTTAAATGGTGCATGTGAACCATACGGTCTTGCTACTTGAATATCTGCATCATCATTTGGAGCATAAGCTTGTGGACGTGGTTCAGCTTGTGTAATTACGCCGCCTGGTAGTAAGAAATGTTCAGTTTCACGTTCTTTCTATAATGAAAAAATCGATGAATTAAAAAAAAAAACCCAAAATATTTATAAATAATAACGAACTTCTTCTCGAATTCTTCGTTCAGTTTTACGTTTTTGTTCAAGTTCATTTGCACGTTGCCATTCACGTTCAAGTTCATCACTCGGAGGTTCTCCCTAATAACAAAAAAAAAACCATTAAATTAATGAATAAAAAATAAAATCATAACAAACTTGTTCCATTCGTGCATAAGATTGTTGTAATTCAACATCTTTCACATTTTTTTCTTGTTGAAGTTTTAATGAATCTGATTGATAAATAGTTAATTCTGATAATGTAGCCATCATTTTACGTGTTATATCTTTAATTTTATTTTGTAAATCATTAACTTTTTTTGCTAATGCTAATGTATCATCTTTTCCAGCATCAACTTTTGTTGATAAACGTTCAATTAAACGATTAACTTGTTCAAGAATAAGATCTTTTTCAAGTGATTGTTCTTCTTTTGTTGCTAAACGTTGTTCAAGCTAAAAGAATTGATTTTTTTTTTTGTTTTGATAAAATATTTCAGATGAGATTATTTTAGAATAAATTAATTACTTGTTCGAGTTTTTCCATGATTACTTCAGGTGAATCATCAGCACCATCAAGAAAACGTACACGTGCTGGATCATTTGGATTTTCAAGAATTTTTTCAAGTTCAATTAAACGATCTTGACATGATTCAAGCTAGAAAGTAGATACATTAATATAAGAGAAAGATAATATTTTTACAGAGATATAGACAAGTTCAATAATAGAGTATAATTATCAAATTCAAATTGTCTTTGATATTTATTTATTCTAGTTTTTAGATATTCTAATATAGACGAAAGCTTTCATCCTTCGTGCAACAAAATCATGTGTTTTATTATCGAATAAGATCAATATAAAGTTTTTGAAAGATTTAAAAATCATTTTCATGACATTTAGACTAATAGATTCATTTGATTGGAAATTTCTTGAAAAAGTCTACATAATGAGATTTCAACAGGTTTTTCTTTATGAGGAAAGTTTCACAATGGATAAATCATTTTCAAGTTCGAACTATCTACACCGTACAGAAACTAATGGATCATGACTACAGCAAAAAGTATTCGACCTCATAGTTAATTGGCAGTGACAAATTGGATTTTTACGATACTTTTCAATATGATACCGTGATTTCTCTCAGAAATATCAAAAAAAAAAATGATTTTAAAATATCTCATATATTTATGATTAACTATTCTCACTAAGGTTTCTTTCTATGTAAAGTTTTAAGTTCGATTTCGAAAATCAATTTTCTTAGTGTTTCTAACCGCGAGCTCCGGTATTATTTTAGAGAACACTGTACAAATGAAATATATCGACGGTAATAAGTTATAAATCCGAACTCTTTTTCTAGTATTCAGAATTCATTAGGATATACATGATGTACCTGTTTTCAGCTCAAAATCAATTAATTATTTGAGAAATTTTCTTTGTGAAATATAAATTTTAATTAGTCACTCAATCAATGGATAAAATCATAGTTATTTGAAATCTTTCAATATTGTATATTCATTTGTTTGAAAAACATACAAATAAATTAACTCTCTTTATTAACTTACACATATTCGATATAATTCAAGTTCTTGATCTAATGATCGTTTTACAGGTAATTTCTTTTTAAATAAAGCAATTTCTCGTTTTTCTTCTTGAATTTGTAATTCTAATAATCGAATTTCATCATCTCGACTTCTTAATTCAATATAAGCATTTTTTAATTTAGCATCTTGAACATTAACTTTTTCCTAAAAAAAAAATTATTTCAATAAACTAAATATAACAAAAATCATTATTAAACAAACTTGAAAAACAACTTCTTCATTATATCTTTCAACAAGTTGTACACTTCGTTCATTTCTATCTAAAACAGCTGTATCATAATCTTTTCTTAATCGAACTAATTCTTTTTCAGCAAATGCAATTAAATTATTATAATTTCGATTTTCTAATGTTTGTTGTTGATCTTGTATATTAAGTTCACGTAAATAAGTACGTTGTTTTTCAACTTTATGTTTTTCTCTATCACGTTCAACAACAGATGCTAATACAAGTAAATTTTTTTTTTGTAAATCTTTTTCTAATATATTTAATTTAGTACGTAAAATTTCAATTTCATTTTGAAGTAATTTTAATTTTTCTTTCATTTCATTTGCTTTTTGACTATTTATTTGTATTGAATTAACACATTTATTACGTTCATTTTTAATAATATCATACATAGCAGCAAATTCTTTTAAT